ATACATACATACATACATAGATGTATTTATAACCACAAAAAAGATAAGTATTTTGTATGTTATATAAGCTCCCGTCTTCAACCCGTACTACAGTCGAACACTACTACCCAGATCGACTGATTTACCTGTATTATGCGCTGCATGTAGCCTCTCGACTCTCGCCTTGCCGCGTAAACCCGCCTTTTGCTCCAAAAGAGGGAGGGTGGCCAGCCTCGGCCCAGGAGAGGTTCGCCAANNCCATAACAGTATTGGTAATTATTTAGGCCCCTATATTCATACCCTTTTTTTGCAGCAAGCTTCTCTCGCCCGGAACTGCCCGAATATACCCTAAACCTTAAACCCAAAACCTATATTCAACCCTTTTTGCAACAGGCTTTCCACTTCGCCGGGGGTTGGAGCAAGCAGCACAAAACCCTAAACCCTAAACCCAAAACCTTAGACCCTAAACCAAAGGGTAAAAAATTCCCCGGCCTCGGCCCAGGAGAGGTTCGCCAAGCTTTGGGCTTCGAACTCCTGGCCGGGTCACCGCAAAAAGTGGGGCTCCGAGACTGTATCGCCTGGGGATTTGTGATAATTATGAAAAATCTGTGCCAGGATTTGGAGTTTGGCATGTTTTTTTTTGTGACGGACACACTCAGCATGTGCCAGGCGAGGTCTGAAGGCGCTTTGGTGATTGTCCAGGTTCCTGCTTAGCTCTGCATGCCTAGTATTGGGACCTGAAACGGAGTGAAGGGGGTGGCGGGCGGGGTGGTTATACCAGATTTCTCGATGATTCCACTTCGTTGCTGTTTCCAGCGCATACTGTAGGCCAATTCCCGAGTCATACCCTGAACCCCGAAAGTGGGGGAATCGTACAGTGAGAAGTCGCATCGGCTCGCGCAGCATGAGCACACAGAAAACGGAGACCGAACAAGTAGAAAGAGTCCTAAGTCCTAAGTAAGTGAGATGGCATCTCTCTGTGTGACAGTGCATGTGCGGGTATCTGTGCATGTGTGCTTTCGCTCTGCCTTGCGGTCTGCCTGTCAATCTAGCCGGCTCGTGAGCTGGGCAAGCTGAAGATAGTGGGGGCTTACCTGACAGGGTAAGGTGTTGATTCTGCTTGCCCCAGAGCCTGAGAGAACAGCCAGACTTTCGCTTAAAATTTGCTTAAAACGCTGTGCGGTCTGTTGCTGCATGCTGTCTGATTGCTGCTATGCAGCTGGCAGCACCTGAGAACTGTCTGTGAAACACCTGCTTCTACTCGCCGTTGACGCACAACCTGAGCTGGTCAAGCCAACTTCTGCACCTTCGGGTGATTCAAGAGTGTGGGCAGTCCAAGGATCGAATCTCTGTGGGAAGGCGACGGCTAACCGAGGCGCCATGGCTCCTGGATGCACAGATCCCCAAGGCTGCAAACTCTTGCGGACACCTGGAAAAGGCAATGTGCTGTGCCTGAAACTGGCGGTTCCAAATCGCGCCACCTTTGGGAACCCCTTCCCAAGTTGGTAGGAGGTCGTCTTCTTCGTCGATCTCCTGGCACCCAGGTCTCTGCAAAGCCTCGGTGAGTGATAGTCAAATCTTTTTGAACACCGAAACTTAGCAGAGGTCCTCTTCACTCTCTTCCTGCTCCATGAGCTCGTCTCCTTCCTGCTCCGGTGCATTGTCGACCATCTCGCGCTGGAAAGCGGAATTCTCCAAGAGAGGTGGGAAGCCCGGAATCCAGCAGCTGGTCAGGGCCGCGTAGTTCACATAGAGACCTGCAGAAGCTGCAGCTTCAGCAGCTACAGCTCAGCCATCCGGGATGCAAGCCACTTTCCCGCATCCGCGCCTGGAAACTCATCGAAGAGCTCCTTCTCTTCCTCCATGGTGACGTGGAGCAGCGCTGCCCACAGCACGAAGCCGACCACCACCAGCATGCCCGGGTTGCACAGTGCCAGCTGCGTGCCTCAGGGGGTTCCACAGTCCCCATTGGGGCCCAAAGTCGTTGCCCAAAGCTTCGGCTCTGCATCCCAGCCTAGACCCCAGAGTAGAGCTCCCAGGTACGCTGGGTGGCGTTCCCAGGCATACGGACCTTCACGAACTACCCGGCGATTCGGAATCTCCAAGCCTCAGGACTTGTTTTTGCGATGCAAGGCCCCCTTGACAAAGTCGATATCAGAAACCCTAACCCCGCTCCCCACTCAATCCAAGCCCAGGCCACCCACCAGCTGATCCTCCTCGAGCTCCCGTGTCGAGGCCCAGAAGTTTCTGTCTGCCACGCGCGTAGCCCAGCTCACCAAGCCCTGGCCCAAGGCCATAGACACAATGCCTCAAGTCTGACAGGGGCCTAGCTGAAAAGCTCTGAAGGATTGTTTCTTTACCTTGCTCAAGTTGACCAGAGCCGCCGTTGCTGGTGCTGCTGAGCGTCCTAAAAGGACAAGAGGCGTCCATAGCTTGAAGTCTGGGAAGTATCTCCATTCCAGAAAGAATTCTAGGCAGCTCAGTGCCACGGCTGCGTTATAGGCAGGATAGACCGGGAAAAAGAAGGACAACGTGGAGAGGTAGTCCGGTGGCAGAGTTTTGCACTCTTTCAAGTAGCCCTGCAGGTATAGGATGCACGCCTGCAGCAGCAGCAGCAGCAGCATGACGGACAAGATGCGTAAATCAAATTAGATGGCAAACCGCTGAAACCTGCGGCGCACAGTCGTGTCCGTTTCTACAGTTGGCCGTAGGCTCCCGGCGAAGATGACAACGATGGACCATGGCCCCAGCGAGTCTTCACCATCTGCAGCCAAAAGCCAGGACCCAAGTTCCGCCAGAGCATGTCCACCATGGAACGCCAGCACCCCCTTTTCTGGGATAGCAGAGACTACTGTAGGGTCTAAACTGGCATTCTGAAACCACTCTTTAAGTGCTATTCCTGCCACATTCATCTAAGAATCTAGGAGTCCAGGGCCAGGGAGCCGAGGACAAAACCAAAATTCCAAGTTTAGGCATGAACTGCATGAAACCAAGTGGTGGCAAAGATGGTACTGGCACTGGCGCAGGCACTAGCATCACCACCACCACCACCACCACCACCAGCACCACCACCACGACCACAGCGACGACGACGACTACTTCTACCTCTATCACTACTAGCAGCGGCAGCCGTAGCGCTACCGCTACTGCTATTGCTTCTGCCACTTGGACTGCTACTGCTACTGCGACGGCGACAGCGACTGCGACGCCTGCTGCTGCTGCCACTTCTGGTAAGTCTAAGTCCAACCCTATTTTACATTATTCACTAAGGTTACTACGACGACGACCACTACTTGTTACTTTATTACTTCTTCTGCTGCTACTAAACTACGACTACAACTGAGACTACGACTACGACGACGACTACGAACACGACGACGACTACTACTACGACGACTACCTACTACCTACTAGCTACTAGCTACTAGCTACTGACTACTGACTACTAAGTACTAACTAGTAACACCACTACTACGACTACTACGACTGCTACGACTACTACGACTACGACGACTAGTACTACTACTGCTACTGCTGCTGCTACTGCTGCTGCTACTGCTACTGCTACTGCTACTGCTACTGCTACTACTTAGCTACTACTTGTGAGCATGCATACATGTTGTTGCATGCCTGTCTCTGCAGTG